TGTGTGTGTGTGTGTGTGTGTGTGTCTCATGAATAAATAAATAAAATCTTTAAAATAAAAAAAGAAAGGCCTTTATATGCTGACATCCCTCTGTGCCCCCATCCCAGTCTCTGGCCCCTAGCAGCAGCCCCTTAGGCCAAGGTCCCCTTAGGCCCACTCATTTTTTCCTGCAGGTTTTGAGGGGAAGCCCCTTAGAGTGTCACTTGGAATCTCCACAAGGCTGTGGAGGAGCACAGTGGAGCTGCCAGCCACACAAGATGGATGTTGGACTAGCAGATGGCAGAGGTTGAAGACCTAAATCTGGCTCCACTGGACAGTGCCCCTCAAACACTGGATGCCACTCTGCCTGTGATAGGTGCCCCTGAATAAGTGCTTGCCCTTGAATCTGGTCCCAGGGACTTTCCCAAGCTGATCCCTCACTCCAAGATAGGGGCTAGGGGCCAGTAGGATTAGATGTTGGGGGACTTGCCCTCATTTGCTGAACTCTGCCAGAAGCCACTTCTTCCTGGTTTTGGCAGATGAACCAAATGATCCGGTCCCTCCTCCTCCCCACCCCATCTCAAAAATCTCCCACCAACCCTAGAGGGCTGGCCTGAAGTGCCCTTCTGGTTTCCCAAATATTCCCAGCAGCACTCCCCAGGATGGACATATGAAGCACTGACTCAAGGCCCACAGCACCTGCAAGTCAGGTTTTCCTCTCACTCCAGGCAGACCGCTGAACTGCCATCCAGCCCTCAGAAAAGTGAAACCCGATGGTCCTCTGAAGTTTTTTAGGGGATCTTATGGTGCCAAAGTGTGTCCCAGCAAAGGCCTGGAAGGGAAATGAATAACTCTCCATTTTAATGAGAGCAGCGTGGGGTGGGGGTGGGGAGACCAAGTGGCTTTCCAAGAGTCTCAGCCAAGGAAGGTGGCTGGGCAGATAAAAGTCATGACCAGGGAAGTTGCTCCCAACTACACCTTCGCATCTGCATGCCTGTGCTTTGGCCTGGGCATACCCCACTCCTACCCCCATTAACCTCCACCCCCATGTGGACCTGGGCAAGCAACTGCCATCCAGGGAAGGAGCACTTTGGTATAACTTATCGCAAAGAATTGTTATGCTTTGCAGCTACCCAACAGTCTTATTTTTATTATTTTTTTCTCAACAATCTTTTTAGAACAAACACTCTTTATGATGCTCACAGCCAAAACCTGGGATGTAGAGATTTCTGTCCGTCATTTGGAGCTTTCTAGAGCCTTGTCATGCAAACCCAATAGAGGCAAATCTGGAACTATTGAATGTATCAGAGGAATGGTTGCTGTTTGTACAGAAAGGATTATAGGGGGCTTCTCAGCTTTACAGATGGGAGGATTTCTTTTAAACTATAACTTCTCTCCTGGCTTTTGAATATGCTTCTCATTCTGAAAGTCTGATTCATGGGTAGACTTTCCTAGCCTGTGTCTTTGGTGCAAAGTAAGGGCCATGGCTATAGAAGCTGTGGCACTGTGGTATTTTGTTCTAGCCACAGGTTTGAATAGAATTCGTTGAGGCCAAGGGGTTAAGGGAGGGGGAAGCAACTGGCCACCTTGTCTCTAAAGAACCTGGGGTGATTTGCAGAAGAATATAGGCGCTGCTTGAAAGAGGGGAAAAAGAGGGCCTGAGAAAGCTGCCAAGGTGGAAAGGCACGTTGAATACAGAAGCAGCGACCTGACTCTGCACGGGCCATGGGCAGCCAGGAAGCCAGGAGGCCCTCTGCTTGTCACTCTTGGAGGGACCCAGGTTCTGAGGCTTGAGAGGACTGAATCCGAGTTGAAGAGTGGGGGTGGAGGAAGACTGGAAGGCAAGAGGCTTAGAGTGCACCATGGATGGTGCAGCCTGGGCATCTGTGGGCAACTCGAGAAGGGGAATTCCTGCCAAGTCAGGGAATGAGCCATTGGCAGAGACAGCTTGGCTGTCTTCTGGGGGAGTGATCTCAGTCTGCTGGCCCCACCTGGCTGGGGCTCACTCAATGGGAAAATGGAAGGAGCTAGGTGGGGAAGGGCTGGCAGGCTGGGGAGCAGCAAGGTCATTGGGAAGGGCAGCCTGGCTGACCTGGAGCCATGAGCCAGGAAAGTCACTCCTGTGGCCCGTGGCTCCCCATGGGGAAGTCAGCACAAGATTTCCATCAACGGGGGTGGGGTTTGCTTTGGCTGTGACTCCCAGATCCTAGGGCTGTGGTTAGTTCCCGGTGGCTGGGGAAGGTGGGAACCTATGAGATTCCCACAGGTGGGCTCCAGGTCATTGGCAGGTATCCGGGCCAGTCACTGTTAGTGGTTAACTGGTCAGCACAGTGCTTGCCCTCTCTCCCTGCCCTTTCCAAGAGGAAGATCTCTCCTCTGCTTTTTCCATGCCATAGGCTTCAGCTCTGGTTTAAACCACAAACACTCTTAGGAGGGATCCACCATTAAGTCCTCAGCAGCTTCTGTCCTAGCCTTATCAGACTTTCTCCCAGAAGCTGGGCTTGAGAAAAGTTGAAATGAGGTTGAAGATACCGCTGAAGGTAGCTAACATCGATTGAGGGCTTACTAGGCACCAGGTGCCACTGCCAAAAACATAGGTTATCTCATTTATTCATCACAACAGCCTTTTCTTTTCTTTCTTTTCTTTTCTTTTCTTTTCTTTTCTTTTTTGTTTTTTTCTTTTCTTTTCTTTTTTTAGAGAGGGAGAAGTGGGGAGGGGCAGAGGCTTGATCCCATGACCTGAGCGAAAATGAAGAGTTGGATGCTTAACCCACTGAGCCACCCAGGTGCCTTTGGTTTTTTTTTAATTTTATTTATTTATTCATGAGACACATAGAGAGAGGCAGAGATGCAGGGAGAGGGAGAAGCAGGCTCCATGCAGGAAGCCCAACACGGGACTCCATCCTGGGTCTCTAGGATTACGCCCTGGGCTGAAGGCGGTGCTAAACCGCTGAGCCACCCCGGCTGCCTGTGTGTGTGTGTGTGTGTGTGTGTGTGTGTGTTTTTAAGATTTTATTTATTTATTCATGAGAGACACACAGAGAGAAGCAGAGGCATAGGAAGAGGGAGGAGAAGCAGGCACCATGCAGAGAGCCCCATACTTGATCCCAGGTCTCCGGGATCAGGCCCTGAGACAAAGGCAGAGGCTCAACTGCTGAGCCACCCAGGCATCCCCCACCACAGCCTTTGGATGTAGGTCCTTATTATCCCCAACTTAAAATAAGGAAAGTGAGGCTCAGAGAGTTTAAGTGACTTGCGCAAAGACACACAGCTGGTAAGTGATGCAGCTGAAATAGGAAACCAGGTCTGTCTGACGTTAGAGACCACTGAACTCTTAGCAGAATGGAAGAGTATGTGTGTTTGTGTCCATCAGTGAGTCTCAAGGTCAAGATAGAGAGGGTTTAGGGATAGCTACCACAGTTTCAAGAGCGGTGCCTCAGGGACAAGAGGCCAGCAGAGAATGGTGTGGCTCCAAGATCAGGAATCCTGTGAAGAAAGCATGGCCACTTAGAAAAGAGAAAAAAAAAAAAAAAGAAAATCTGCTCTAGGTGCTTATTTCAGGGCCTTGGCTATCAGTCGCCAAGAGATCTCAAGGGTCAGTGCCCCAGTTCAGCCCCTTGGTTTTTCCCCGGAAACTTATGATCTGCAGCTGCCTTCACAGCCATCATCCACCACCATTCTTGTCCCCCCACCCCAGTCCTGTGCCAGGGACCATCCTTTCCCAAGGCTGGGGAAGCAGGTAGATGCTGGTGGTTGGGCAGATCCCTGAACTTCGGGCCCTTTGGCCACCCTTGCCCCTCAGAGGGCCCTCATCCTCTTCGGCTTTCCTGCTTTCTGCCAAGGAGGTGCCAGGGCTGAAGCACGGATGAGCCCCTCTTCCAGATCATGTAGAACCATAAGAAGTGACTATTTCCAGCCATCTTCCTCCTAGAGCCTCCTCAATGTGGGACCAGGTGGGATGTGGGGGTTTGTATGGATTCCAGGCAGGCCAGAAGAGAGAGAAGGGGGGAGACAGGATGGGAGACTGGGATGCCTCAAGCAGGGCAGCTTGTCTTTGGAGAGAAGGGGGCATGAGCTTTTTCCCAGCACCCCAAGTCTGTCTGCCTTTGCACCTGCTGTGGCAGTCTCGCTCCCCCCCCCCAGCCTCCCCACCCTGATTCCTATCTGCCGGGTCTCCCCCATCAGGAGTCCTAGGCTCCACTTCCCTAAGAAGTCCTCCAAGCCCTCCAGTCATTCCAAGCGAGGATGATGCATTTGGCCGAGGATTGTGCAGTGTTTGGCATATAGCTCCCGAATTGTATCCTCTGGGCATTTCCTGGCCTCACCACGCGCTCCGCCCGCCCTCCCGCCAGGTCCACACAGCAGGCGCTCAATACTCTGGAGTGCTAGGGTGTGGGCCAAAGGCGTCAAGCCAGTGGCGTGTGGAGGACGAGGGGGCTGGACATAGCCATCCAGGGTCCCCAGAGAAGAGATTTGTCTCCGAGGCATTGTGTGGGGGCTTCCCGGCGGGAAGGGCCCCGACAGGGGGCCAGGAGCCCCGACCCCGCCTCGTGGCGGGGAATGAGGGGCGCGGGCCAAGAAAGGGGCGCGCGACGTGGGTTCTGCAGGGTCCCTGCTCTCGTGGTCCCCGGGGGCGAGCGAGCCGTGAGGGGAAGGAGAGGCCGCGCGGGCCCCTGGCACGGCTCCCCCTGCCGTGCTGGCGACCGCGGCGGGCCGGGGGTGGAGGGGCGCTGTTTCCACCAAGACGCCTCGTCCCTCCCTCGCTCCCTCACCCACCCCGCCCGCCCGCCCGCGGTCCCTCCCGTCGGTCCCTCCCTCCGGCTCTTCCCTCCCTCCCGCCCTGCCTCCTTCGCGCCCGCCCTAGCCGCCGCCTGCGGGGACGTGTGTGTCTCTAGTGCAATTTCCCCTTTCGCTCGGGTGTCTCAGTGCAGGTCTCCGCTGGCTCGCGCCCCCTCCCCGGGCGCCCCCGCCGCCCCCTCCCTCGGCGTGGCCCTCCCCGGCGGCCACCCAGCTCCCCCCGCACTCCACCCCGCCCCCCGGAGTCGTTTTATCAGGGGCGCCGCCGTCTCACCTGGTATTTGCATCTCGCCCTCCAACTTGCCATTGGCGGCGCGACGTGTGGGAGAGCCCTGCGCCTCGCCCGCCCGGACCAGCCTGCCCCGGCGCCGAGGTGAGTCACGGGCGCAGGGCCGCGGGGGCAGGCGGGCAGGGAGGAAAGAGGGAGGGAAGGAGGGAGGGGGACGGTGGCCCCGGCGGCTGCGGGGACCGACCGGGCGCCGCGCTCAACTTCCACTTCTCCTTTCGCCGGCGCCGAGGTCCCGGCGCCACTGGCCCGGCCCTGCTTCCGAGGGGAGTAGGCGGGCTGGGGGGAAGGTGGGGGCCGCTGGGGACCCTCGGCTGGGCCCCTGGAGCGGGGAGGGGACTGCAGCGACTGACCCCAGCCCTGCAACCGAGCCCACCCGGCCTCAGGTACGTCGATGGCGCCGGTTCTTCGAGCTTTCGGGGACCTCGAAAAGTTTGCCTGAAGGCGGGATCGGGGACGCTGGGTCCCCGGAGTGTAGGGCTTGGGGGCCCAGGGAATGGTGGGAGAGCCGCGGCGTGTTGAGTCCCGCCCTTGCCTCGCCCCACCGCGTGTGTGTTGGGGAACCCGGGCTTCTGAGCCTGGGTTAGAAACGGAATCGAATTCCCAAGGCAGGGTGGGGGGCCGATTTTCCCGCGCCGCGGGCCCCGGGGGTTCCGTAGCGGGGCCGATCGTGACAGAAGGCCCCCTCAGCGCTCGGTGCTCCAGGGCGGGAGGTCAGACCGCGAAGCGCCAGGGCTGCCAGATTGATCGGGCGGCCCCCAGCGCCTCTGGGGCCAGGCGCCTTGGTAAAACACACACTCACTAGTGTAAAACACGCGCGCGCGCGGACGGACACACACACACACACACACACACACACACACTCCCCTATGACTTGAATAATTGGATTGCCAAAATAGAGACCTCTTGGCAGGGGCCAGAGTTTCCGTGTGAGCAAGACGCCAGCCTTCCCGCTCCCGCGTTCCCGCTCTCCCGGTTTCTCCCGCCTCTCGGTTCCCTCCTCTGCTGCAGGCAAGGGGATTGAGCGGCCACACAGCGCGGGGTGCCTTGCCGGCAGCGCTTTGCTTTGGGGAACTGCCCGGGCGGTGTCTGCTTTATGAATTTCTGGTGCCTCCACCGCGCCCTAACTCTGCTGTGCTTTCCTCTGGACTGTGTGTAGGGAAATAGACCTCCTCACCAGAGTCACCTCCTGACCCCTTGGTACCTCAAAACTGAGCCAGGTTCTCCCTGGCTGCTCCCCACCCCACCACACACACCCCAGCCTTGGGATTTGATGGCAGTTTGATTCCTGCCCCTCATCCCTGTGCCTGAGATTGAGGCCTGTCTGGTCCTGCAGCTTCTTCTGGTTAATGTTTGACAGTTCATTGTGGCTAATCATTTTAATTAGCTCTTAAAGTGGGGAGGAACAGTTAACCTTGGACTTCTCGATTTTGGCCTGGTGGGGCCTCAAATGGGAGGAGTGCAAGGGAGGTGGGGAGGTAGGAGCGGAAGTGAGGTCACCACCTCAGGGCCTGAGCCACCACTGCTTGGCCCCAACAGCTGGTGGGCACGCCCATCGGGGACTCACCCCCTGCAGGCTGACCCCTGGCCAGAGTGCCAGGTTGGAGAGGGGTGAAGGGAACAGATCTGGCTCTCCCCTTGGGGGAGACAGGACACTTTGGCACCAAAAATGGCCAGGGAACACGTATGCCCAATAAGAATGCAAATCCCTCCTTGCAGTTGGTTACACAGGGTTTTACCGGTTAGAAGGCGCTTTCTCAACCATTGATTCAGTGGACCCAGAGCGTAATGGGGGTGCTGTCTTGAGTTAAGTGAAAGGCTTCACTATCTTGGAGGACTGGTTATCCTAACCGATGTGGGGAAGAGGCTGCCTTGCATGTGGTAGTTTCTGGGACTGGGTTCTGTTCAAACCCCAGGATGTTTTTTCGGGGGGGGGGTGTTGAGCAGACTCCACGTTGCCACCCTCACCCAGCCTCTAACTGTGAGCCGAAGGAGTGGCTTGTTTGCAACTATGTCTGGCATTCCTCCCACTGCTCCACTGTTTGCTCGGTGGTTGCTCAGGAGCTGGCGCCCACCCCAGGACAAGGTGGGGGCCTGCAATCCACTCTCCCCCTGCCAAATGCTAAGTGGTAGCACGGTGGCTTCTGTCTTCTCTGTCCCATGTTGGGATCTAAAAATGAAGGTGCTGTGGTCTGTCATTCATACGCCTGACTGATAGACTATCCAAAATGCCCATAGCCTGCAAAGTTCAGGACTTTTGTCTCTGAAGAGGCCCAGCCAGGCACAGGCTGAGGGGATTGCTTGCCCAGGGAAACCCTGGCTCCTCAGCTTGGCCTTGGACCTTGCCACTCCCAACCCCAACTTCCATGCCTAGAGCCAGACTATCTGGGTCAAAAACCAGCTTTGTTATTTACTAGCGATGTGACCTCAGTCTGTTGTATGCCTTGGTTTACCCATCTGTCAAATGAGCCCTACCTCATAAGATTGCTGCAAAGATCAAATATATCGAGATACATAAGCTGCTTATTAGAACAGTGTATGGCACATAGTGAGCATGGACCAGCACTATAGTATTATCTAATACAGTGTCTAAAACTCAGATTCCACTCAGCAAACATTTGTGGAGAGCCAGTCCCCGTGGCAGGCATGGGTGAAGTGGCAGTGAGGAAATATGGTGGTGAAGAAGACTCCACATGCCTTCCAGGATTGTGTATAGCTTCTGCTGTAGGCCAGAGTTGGGGTGCAGGGCGTGGGAGGGAGCCAGGGACAGTGGCAAGGTCATATATAAATAACCATAATTCAAAGCCAGGCTGGAATACTTGAGCTAGTGTGGGGAACCAGGCATCCTAGGTCTCCTTGCCTGGGGACCCTGGCTGGGTCTTGGTCTGGTTGTACCCTCTGAACTGCTTTGGGAATTGGATGAATGATGGGGAAATGGAGACCTCCTTTCTTCATGGGCTGCAGGTGGCATGATTCGTTGGGTTCCAGGGCAGGATGCACATTTACTTAGCGCCATCCCCAAACACCCCTCTAGCCCTCTGCCATACCCCCACCACCTCCCGGAGGTCCTCTGCTGAGCTGGGAAGGGCTTCAGGCAGCCTTCTCCCCTCAAGCTTGGGCCTGACCCTAGCCTGGGCTTGGTTATCTCTCCAGGATTTCTAAACTGCAAAGAGGTTTCTGGCTTCACTGCCGATTTATTCCCTTTGTGGTTTTCAGACTGAAAACTAGTTCTGCAGGGGAGGAAGGAAACTCATCCGAAGTACCCAGAATCCCATGGGCACTTTCCTAGAGGTCAGGGGCTTTTCTCATCAACACCAACCTGCCTGCAAACCTCTGGCCGCTGAGCCTCGGATGGCCGGTAATAGTGGCCGCGCCAGTAATGCCCTATAGCTCCCGCCCCAGTGCTGGTTGCCAAGGAACTGCTGGTCGGGGTGCTCATGAGGGTTCTGACCTCACAGGGGCTGTTGAGTTTCAATTCAACAGCCATTTATTAACACCTACTGTGTGCCCAACCTGTGCTAGGCCTGGTGGAGGGGCTGAGCCAAGGAGGTGCTGGGGAAAGATGACTAAGATGCTGAAACAATCAGAGGCGAGGATGGGCAGCCAGGTCAGTGGCTGGTCAGGTGCTAATTGTGCTCCTCCAAGCAGGGGCCAGAGGCGGCCAGGGCTCTGAGGTCGGCATCTGGAGGAGGGAGGGAAAGCTTTGTGAGGGCCTAGGCAAGCTAGACCTTGGGGGTGGGGCGCGGGGGAGATTTGGCTGGGCCAAAAAGGGAGAAAAGAGGCCTTTCTCTGTCTTCCCTGGCCACAGACTGACCTTCGAAGGCTGGATAATTGTTTGGCAAATGCGTGTCACATAAAAGACCAGGTCAGTGAGCGTGGGTGGCTCAGGGCAGACCCCGATCTCCACTCCAGGAGATAGAAAGTGGCCGGCCCAGACCCCAGACGGGGAGCCGGGGGAGCCTGGCGGGTATTGATAAGACACAAAGGGTAGGCAGGCTTCCCTGCCACCCAAGCTGAGGGGATTTGATTTCGAGCTGCCCCCCACAACACACATACACACACACACACCACACACACACACACACACACACACACACGGACCCTGGGGGAGGTGGGTGGAGAGAGAGGAAGAGAGGTAGAAGGCACCAAAGGGACAGGAAAACTGACACACCAGTGCTGTTTGCAGCAGGCATGGGCTGGCCAGGTCCCACCTTTCCCTAGGGTGTTGGGATTTCTCTGGAAGTCAGGAGGCTTAGGTGGAGGATAGAGATTTTCATTTCCTCAGACAGCTGGGAACCCAAGAGTCTAGAGAGTCCCACATGTTTCTACCCAGACCACCCTGGCAAGGGCAAGGGATAGCTATACATTTCTTCTGCTGCTTTTGTGTCTCCCATGGCTGACTGTACAGGGGAACTTGGCTCTTTCTGGGTTTAACTGGAGCAGAACACCCAGACACACACATATCCTCCCCTCCCCCACATAACTTTTCCTCTCCCACTGCCCTCTTTCCCTGCCCCCTCCCCAGCACATTGCAACACCACTGGGACACACCAGAGAGTGCCCTGGCTTCTTGGCTGGGGAATCATGTCCTAAGGTGAGCTTTTTGGCAGAGACTCCAGCCTTCTATCGAGAAGGAGGTTCAGGGAAAGGTGTTTCACGCAGGAGGGTCTGCAAGGGAAAGTGCTGGAACATTTCTCAAACCAACGAGAAGAAAGGTTAAGCAGCTTGCCCAGGTTGAGCAAGCTATGCCTTAGATTCCCACCTTCTTGGAGGACCATTTTATTGTCCCAAAACTGGTACTTCCTGCTTCTTAGGCCAACTGCCCTTCCTGAAGCTTCCTTTCCTCTTCCAGTCTAACCTAATATCCTTCCAGAGAAGTGCGTTGTCTAGAAGTGGGGAAGAGCACAGTCTCTGTATGTTAATATTCCAGATCTACGGCTTAGTGACGGTGTGAGTGTGGGCTGGTCTCTTAAGCACCCTGGATCTAAGTGCCCACCCTCCAGGGTCACCATAAGGATTAAATGAGATAGTGCAGGGTCAGCACTCAGCATCGTGCCTGGCACATAGCTACTGCCCCCCAGGTGTTA